CTTCTTTCTCACCCTTTTCTGCCTATAAAGTTGAAAATAATTATAATGAATTAATATAACTGGAAGAACCTGTCAGAGGATTAAAAAACGCAATGCAGTATCCCTAACGATCTGGAATAGTTAATTAAGTTCTCTTATAAATGAGTTCCAAAAATAACTTACTTTCAGTAAGTTATTCTGAGAAACAGTCACTTTAGCATACCTGAGCTGTAGTGCCTATTAGAAAAGGGCCAATTATCCAGTGATTGGCAGTTAAAGGTGAACTAATGAAGTTCTTAATTAAAAGATTTCCTATTATAATCGCCAGTAGGTAACGGAATACTGCATATATAAAGCAGACATAACGTTAGAAGATTTCCATTTTGATACAAAGATTTTGAAAATCGTCTCCTCCTTTGCTTACAGTGCCAAGTCCAAAACAGGAATGTTACAGTTTTCGCGGGTGTAGCTGGCAACGTGCTGCTATTGCCCCTCATTAGAGTGTCCTGCTCTGACTCTCCTGCAGTCAGAGGTGTTTCCCTTGTATAACTGGTGGCACAACTTTAACTGCTGTTAATTCCCAAAGCTGTTTATGTCATACAGAAAAATGATTGTGAGATTTTACAAAGGGATACTCCTATCTTTTCAACTAAGAAACTGGCTGCAGACTTCCTTTACATGCCTGTCATTGGCAACTTCCCCAAATTTTCACTTACTTCACAGTAAATAGGATATTATCAACCCTTCCATGAGATATACTGGAATTAAATTTTGGGAAAAAAAATAATGGTTTGGCAGCATGAGGTGTATTGACATACTACTAAAATCCGAATGAAAGGAATTTCCCAAGAGGTGTATCTCCCCATCCAGTGTAGAAGGACTCAAAGTCATTCTGAGTACATTTCAAGCTCGCCAGATAGAACGAAGGAGCTTCTTTCTGAGTGCTGCATAACCATGCTAACAGTGCATTATGCCCAAGATAAAACAGCCTACTAAGATTAGCTCGAACACCTTGTCACACTGTTCACCTCTTAGACAGAAATAGGCATCACTTTGCAGCCATTCACACAGGTGCAGCCCCAGTGCTCAGTGCTGTATGTGAAGGATGACTTACCGGGCCTATGGGCTTCTTGCTCTTAAGTGCTCCATGTAAACACTACTAAAAATATATACAGCTAACCCTATAGTTCTGAGTTCTGATAAGACAAGGCTTGTCATTTTCATAGGTGATTTGACTTGTTTCTGCAGAACTATAAAATCCAGCAACTTTACTTTGTCCTCTATATAACATTCAAGAAGATTTACAGACCTGTATTTATTAACCACTGCAACAGAAACAGAATTTAGCCTAAGATAGCACTATATATGTTCTTGACTAATAGGTAACGGTCCTTATATGATGCCAGTTTTTCTAAGATCTTGATGAATTTAATTTTCACTAATCAATCTACCAGTCTTCAGCAAGTCAAAGGTATAAAATTAGCCTCAAAGGTCACGCCTCTTTCAAAATGACCAGTCTGTTTCCATTTCCAGCAGGCCCTAGCGCAAGCTAAAATTAATATTCACTGGAAGCTGAGCAATTTTTTCATGCAAATAGATCTGTTTTGAGTCTTTGAAATTTTTACCTTATTAGTAAAAGCACTAAAATTTCTTATCACTAACAGAAACTGTCAAGTGTGACTGGCAAATTCCTTAACTTACCTTTTTTCTGTTCAGCTTAATCCATGGGATATCAATGCTTTTTTCTCCATATGAAGTCCTTCAGTACTTTCAAGAGAAAGAAAATATATGTCTGAGCACCTCCAGCTCACCAGAAAGCCTGTAGTACCAAAGGACTTTCTATTCTATGTGTTATCAGTTGCAATGGAAAAGTTAAGCATGGATGTTGTATTTACAGGTTAAAGAACTTTTATATACTTCTGTCTTTTTTTTTTTTTTTTTCAATTATAAAGAAAAAGATGGATTTTTTAGAAATAAACATTTCCATTTTTAAATTTGCATAAGTTTTGAATACAAAACAGATATGAGAGATATTTTAATGTTACACTGAAACAAATGTAGATCAGAGATGAGTTTATTGTAAAGAAGTACATGTAGAAGAGTAAAAAGCCAAGTCCCTATTATCTAACATGACTTGTTTCCTGTGAAGCTATATTAACAGCAGTGAAGACTCTGAAGATGGAAATTTTGGAGCATAGAGACTGTGATCTCCTATTAAGCTTCTAGAGGAGAAGAAAAAGATCTTTTAGACTCAGTAATCCTTATAATGTGTTCATGCAACAACTTTAAAGCTGTAGGTTATAATTTATTGGGAGTTAGCCGTCTATTTGATGGCTGCAAAACACCCCGGAAAAATGGGATCATGGGTAATAACCCATGAGAACAGAGAAATTACCTATCTCGATATTGAGGTTAAGCTACAGAATCTTGTCCATCATCATGAGCTAAAGCTCTGGGATCTTGTAGGCAGAAACGTCTGGGATGTTTTTACAGAGGCAGAAAAATTTAGAGAAACAGCTTTCAAAGAAAAGAGTCCAAATTGAACTGGTGTGATGAAAATCTAAAAATGAACCATGGTATCTTATTGTGGTGGTATATAATTTGGGATCATTGCTCACCTACTAAATGGTTCTGTAGTTCATCACTGATTAAAAGATTAAAAACATTTGAGGAGGTTAAACTGCTGAAGTTTCAGGGGAACAAGGAAACAGCAGCTTTTTTGGCCCATTCATTTCACTGCAAAAATCTCCCTGTACCATAAAATATTTATAACATAGCTTCGAGTAATAAAAAGGACTATTCCATTACATTCCACTCCATTCCACTTTTCCTATTCTGTTCAATTTTGCCAGTACAATTAAAGTTAATAACTTAAACAATCAAAACAGTTTTTAACTGTGTCACATTTAATACTCTTTATCTCACAGTCAGATTTTTCAAGAGAGAATTAATCTAGTGAGTACGGAGCTGTTTTGACCTAATTAGCAAAGTAGCCAGATTAATTTTTAGTGATACAGAGAAAGCATTTTACCACTGCAGAAAAGCAACAAATCAATTGTAACTTTCAATGTCCCACTGAACTTTATTACATCATGTGTAGTATAAACCGCTGACATAATCCATCCGCCTCTGATTTTGAGACCTCAAGGAAGGGTGGCTGTGACAGTGCCCTCTGAAATAACACTGAAGCTTCAGCTCCCATGTCAATATTATGCTCTAATCAGTGCAGTCTTTTGTTGCAGGGTCTTCCACCTTATAATTGACCCTGACATATGCTATTCACTCTATCCCTTGGCTTTGGACATAAAACTCCTGTCATGGTCAATTATTAGGTGATAGAGCCTGCAACCACAGGGACCATTGCTTAAAATCATCCTGCACAGTAAGCCCTGAAGTTACCAAATTCAAATATAACTGGAGGGAAAGAGGGGATCTAGTCTTTGATAAAAGTAATACTCTTTTCGCTTCTATATAGAAAAATGTCAATTTCCATCATCCTATATATTACCAAGACAAATGGTGACAGTGCTATTTCTGAAACAGGTTAAGGAAAAGTACAAAAGCCTTTACCAAACTCGACATACTCTGAAATGAGGAAATTGTCTGTACGAGCATACAGTATGCATAAAAATTAGATTACACTACATTTGAAAGGCAGATGAGAGTTTAAGAGTGACAAGTGGGCAAGTGCTAAAAATAAGGGCATGATACTTCCTTTCCAACACTGCTTTGTTTGTATGCTTTCTTTGATGTTGTTTAGGATTTGAAGTAAAGAAATGATTTGCAAGCATCTGAATGACACTTCTGATTACTATGTCGATAAGAACTGGTTTTAAACAAAAAGGTCTCTTCTAGTTGTCCCATTGGTTCTGTAGTGCCTGAGAAATTGGGCAAAGATAAAAACCAGGATACCTGCTCTTTGGTCTTAGTGTAAGCATTATGATTTTTGAAAATGTAGTTTTGCAGTCATTGTGTTCCTGCAGTAACTTTACAGAATCGTTACAACTTCAGGAATAAGAGCTTAGACAGGAGCAGAAGTTTACCATCCACCCGCAGAGATGTACTTGAAAGGCCAGGCTGTGAACCACGGGTTCATTTCACAGATTCTCTGGCCGTAGTCACCTATGCCAGTACCCCAGAGGGAGAGCTATCCCTGTTTTTTGCTGGATGGACATTAATTTCAATTTGCTTGCTGCCGTTGCCTGGTTTGGTTTGTTTATTTGGTTTCTTGGTTGATTGTGTGGGTTTTTTTTTTTTTTTTTTTGGAAAAGATGGAATTTTAATAACCAATAGTCTTTTCAGTCACAAATTATTATCTACAGGAGTCTTCCACTGATTTGTTTCACTGTTGACAATTTACTTAATTCTCTTATACCTAAGCAACCAAGCTCAGAAATAATCCTTAAAAGACCTTTGCAAATCTGCTGAGTTTTACAGGTAATGCAAGATATAATATAATGAAAGATGCAATTTGGTGATATCTTTGTTACATATCTTAGCCTGAATAGACAAAGTTCTAATTAACATTCATACAATTATCTAAGTCTTTTAAAATCCCATCTGTACAGTTTGTCTTAATGATGTATACATGGCATAGCAATCCCAAGAAATACAAAACACATACAATGCAAGTGCTTCTAATTCAAACCATACTGCTGATTAATGGTGGAGTATTCTGAAGCTGTTGTACACGTTCCGTATTTCATTTGAATGGTTGTTGTAAGGCTCGAGCACCTTCCTGCTGAAGTACACAGTCCTGCATGTATCTGGGAGCTGTTACTCCAGAAACTGCTGTTACTGTGTGCAGTATCCAAACAAGTCAGCTTTGGAAACTACTGATTTAGGTGCACATGGATAGCTTTACTGGAATGTGTAACCCAGCTCAGATGTTTGCAAGACAAAAACTTATTTACTGAACCTATTAATATATTCAAATACCAAATTTCCACACCTTCAGAATAAAAAAAAAAAAAAAAAAGTGCTGTTCCTAACATACATGCTTTTTATCTACCCTGCACGTATCACATGACATCCTAAACATTATTTCATAGAAGAGTTAATTCAGCTTTCAGCAGTCTGCAGTCTGTGAAGCAAGGAGAATAACTCCTGGCTGGTTTATGGTTTAGAGCATGATTGAATATACTAACAGGGCTCCGTGAAGTACTCATTTCAATATATACAATATATTTTTAAATTATTTAATCTCTATACAGGTCTTATCCTCTAAATAAGTGGAGCATCTCTATTTCCCTGAAAAAGCAGAGGCAGTAGAGCCCAAAAATACTGAGACAGCACTGGTGATCTGAATCTTGGAATTTTATTCTCTGGTCAGTAACTTGTTGATCATTTTGTGATCGTTAATGCAACTTCATCTGCACTTTGTTTCAGTTTGTCTGTAAAGTGGGCATAGCTATACCTTGCAGATTATTTTGAGATTTATAGGGTTTTACAACTGCATATATTACAAAACATAATTGTAATAAATATTAAAAAAAGTCTTTTCAGAAACCTTTTAACTCAGTTGTTCCAAAGATAGGTCTATAACATTTAGATTATGTCAGTTAAAGTCCTTGTGTCTGATGAGTAAGATTATTTACAATCTTAGAAATTTATAAGATTAGTTTATTTTTAATGTTTGTATGCATGTTCTTCTGGGGAAGTATGCAGGGACATCACAAGCAGTGTTTAAATCTCACCACGGCAACTGATTTTTCTGTACTCTATCAATAACATATTTGCAGAACTGCCAGATGGGCAGAGAAACTGCAGTGAGAAAATAATGGTCAGGTTTGTAGTACAACAAAAAAAAAGGATCAGACATTAGATACATGATTTTAAAAGCATATTTTGACAAACTTTGCACATTTAACAAACTTCTTAAATAGAAGCTTTGCATTGATCTCTCTGCCAGAATGACAAAAGAAAAAGGTGATAAAAATTCATACAGCTAAAGCTGACACAAATCCTGACCAAATACAATTAATCTGGAATATAAAAATGGTAATATTTGGACGATAAATCTTGTGGCTGTATGGGAGTCAGAAGGTTACTATGAGATTTGCAGTAAAGGTTTCTAATAGGGTATATCTGGTCTCTTCTTGCATTATGGAGAAGATTGGTAAAAAAGCAGAGCTTTGAAAAATTTGATTCTCCCAGGCTTCTCTGTATACAACAGCATTAAAAACAAACATTTAAAGACAGCAAACTTGCAAAACCTCCGTGCATTTTTTAACCCATTTGCAGGCAGCATTAGATCAACAACAAAAATAATTGCTGTCAGTTTGTACTTTTTGACCAATAATTCTCTGTATTTCCTGCAAGAAACTTGAGTGATGCAAATGACCTTATTTTTACAGCATGCTTTTATTAAATAGTTTATTATTTTGGCAGACTAATAAAGATTTTGGTATTTGCTTTTATTTGCAATAATATTACCACCACATAAAAAAGGATTTTATGTTCTTTTTGAGGAACAAGGAGGATAAAAGTGTTGATGGATAGTGCAACTAAGGCATCAGCAATGAGCTGGAAATGAGACACATAAATATGAAAGCAGAGCTAAGAAAATAGAACTGCACCCTTGGCCTTTCTTAAAAGAACACGCACATGCCATGGTTCATTCATACAGTTACAGAAACTCCTTTTGTTTTCAGTAAGTCAGTGAAAATATGCAAAGACCAAAATATTATTAAGATTCTCAGTTGTTTGGCATATTTCCGCGGTTAATGTGGTTGTGAAATGTTTCTAAACATTTAGAGAAATAACTGGTGATAATGATGATGATTTTTTAGAAGATGTGTATTTTATTTTAAGTATAAAATTGTCCATCTTTCTAGCTATGTCCTAGACAAAGGTGATAAAACAATACCAGTTTTCAGTTTTCCCTTTTTTGCCCCCAAACAGACCTAATTCTTCAAAGATCAAAGAGCAGAGACCTAGTAGCCAGGTTAGACAATCACACACAAATTTTAAAAACAAAGTTATCAGTCCTCTAATCAAAAAAGCCTAGATAGCATATAGTAGCATTAGACTTCTTCTATCTTGTATGGGGGGGTTTTATTTCAGATTGAAAAAATTGTGACTACAGTTTCATTCTGCAATAACCTCAGCTCCTCAACAACTGGTGGTGTTGGATGCTAGGGGTATTTGGCAGTGCGTAAGAGTTTACATCTGTACAGATTATATCTATTGTAATCCGAACTTCTATTTCTTAAGGTAGGGAACATATTTTTTCAAGCAAACAATTGGATATGCCTTATAAATAATGATATTCACTTGATTGAAGGTACTTAAGATCTGAATTTTATATATAGTCACCCCTCAAAAAGACAATTGACGCAGAAGAATATGAACAGAGCAAATATCACATGAAAAACAGGGAAGTAGGCAAAAAAATTTTGCCTCACTGGAGATTTTTATGTTCCATTTGCTTTTTCTAAAAGGCAGTCAGTAAATAGGAATCATGAAGTATGAGTTTCATAGAAGAATAAATCTAACAATTAATTATATGTCAAGGCTTAAGAATCAAAAAACTGCTTATGCCCATTGCCAGTCATTCACTCCCTGTCAGTAGTAGTTCACATCTTTCCTGGGATGGCATCCAACCACAGTGGCATCTAAAATATAGCAGGCTATATTGTTACAGTTGGAGGTGAAATCGAAAGTTGCACCAAACAGAAGTGACAAATTCACATTGCTCAGTGTTGCCTAGCAATAAGAGATGAGTTTATTATGAACACTGACTCTATCCGTCTCAAAGGGGCTTTGTATTCACACCAAAATGCCACTACTCTTACAGGCAAAAGGGGCAAAAATAGAGTGGGCAGAAGGAGGAAACAGTCACAGTAGCTGTAAGCACTTTCTGTATTTCAAGATTCTTCTCTGTCTCTTGGGAACTGCTCAGGAAGGAAAAGGCAGAGCCTGGCTCTAGCGGAACTCTTGAGATTGGCCAGGTAGCTTGTTACCAATCTTAATCATCCTTTTGAACGCCCTTAGTAGTGCCATTTCCTTAGTAATGCTCAGAAACTTCAAATACGTAAAGTCTTTACTGAATGTTCTCAAGGACTGCTCAGTAGTTGTTTTCATTGTGCAGAGCTTCCCATTAGCTTCAGCTTTTTTCTTTTTTCCCTTTCATTTCCTTTTTTTTTTTTTTTTTTTTTTTTTTTCAGGGAAAAGGACAAGACTTCAGGGACAGACACCTTGCTGTTTTCCTTTTTAACCACTTTATGTGGGAGAACATTTATTTCTGTCTTATCTTGGACATTGGACTGTCTCTCAAGTTATTAAGTACCTAGCTGTTCAGATAAACAGGATTTTCAAGAAATATTTAGTTATCCTTCAAGACCTTACTGGCTATCCACCCACATTTTTACGCACCTAATCAATTTTAAAAATCCACACAATAGCTCCTATTAAAAAAAGCCTCCAGTAACTGATCTGTTTCTGTGCTTTTATGCCATCTGCATTTTTGACAACTGAATATTTTTGACAGCATGGTCCATTGTGCCCAAGTTCACATCAGTTTTTTTTCCTCTCTTTTTTTTTTAAAACATCACATGAATACATATATGGTAAGAAAGTGGGTTATATCACACATTTTGCTTTACAGATTGGTGTTTACAGTGGATTTTTAGAAGGGACAAAAAACATACACAAAGTATTTCTATTACCAGTACTATAATAGATTCATCAAATGCTATGTAAGTGAAGCTCACTGAAGTTATGAAACAGTTGTGATTTTAAGAAGAAACTTTAGAAACAAATACAAAAACTAAGGATGAAGTTTAGAGATTATGTAGTTTAGGTAAAAGAAAATGAAGTCTAGATAAAAAATGTTCTCTTCTGTATTTATGAAATGGTTTATTAAAAATGTTAGTGCAGAATTATCTCCTTAGCTTGCATGTTCACCTAGCCAGGCTAACTGAACCTGTACAAATTTGAGAGTTTAATTTTTATAGTTTGTGTGCAAAATGCAGCTATTGTCTCAAATTCTCACTTATGCAGTAAGCTTTGCAGGTACAAAACCGAGGTACTTACATTTTGTAAATGTTTTTGTAGAACCTTTCGTAACTTTGGTCCTTTCTTTATTTCAGATTCAACGTGTTACAAACAAACATATTCCACCTGTTACAACAATCTGGCATATTACTTTCTTGATACGTGATGATACAATACCTCTCAGGTTTGCTGAGTAGCAAAGAGAAATGTAAGCAAATGAAAAGGTTTTCCACTTTCACAGTTTTTTTCTGCTTGGGGTTCTGTTTGTCTGAGAACTGTATGAATAGAAGCCATATTTTATAGTATTTCTTTAACCTCTGCCATCTGGTGTAGGTTAGTTTTTCCACTGCCAACATATCCTAGAGGCCCCAGTACCAAAATGTTTAATTTCTAAGTAAACATTTGGACTTTATAAATCCAGTTTAAAAAAATAGAGCATTATTTTTTTAAACTATATATTGCATTTGCCACTACTGATGACATTAATAAACACACAGACAAGTATGTGGGTTTAAAGGCTTCTGGCCGTGACTTTGTTTTCTGTAGCAGAGCTCCAGAGATGTCAGGTCACCCAACATCTTTAATCACTAAGTCATGTTCAGTTGTCATAAAGGAACTTGAATATCCCCTTCTGACCTAAAGTCTGAAGTTGTGTCAAGGGATTTGCACCACCGTAGCCAAAACCTTCCAAATCAAGCATGGTTTCAGGCAGATAATACTCACCTATGCCAAAGCCAAATCTTTAGCTGCTCTATTTTTATAATATAAACTGAAGTAACGTCACTGCAATAAGAGAGGATTGTTGCTACAAAAGAATTTGGGCAAGTAGGTAGCCAATAAAAAAAAACAGGAATGCAATAACCATATCTCCAGAAACTTCCTTATGTTATATCTGAGGGGGAAAAAAAAAAAACAACAAACAAACACAAAATCTGTGTGTCAGAATTCTAATACCAAGAGGAGGAAGTCCTTTCTAAATTTACAAAACCATAATGTTGTGTTTTGTACTAGCCAGCAAATTCTCAGATCTCAGTTTGAAAACATGCAGTAGTGTTGATTGTCCCAAGCTGATCTTTAGTTGGAGTGAAAAACTGAAAAAATCTTGTTTCTGCTGAGGATGGGCAGGCATACAGAGGTCATGTTAATCAGTATTCTTGAGAGGCAGACAGTCACTGGGGAAAAGACACATATATAATACAGATGCATAGATAATAGAGGAGAACACTAAAATCTGTATATAAGGAGATCTGAAGGGTAAAGAAAAGGAAAATAACTATCTCATTACTTAATTCTGATTTAGGAAAAGGTCTTGAAAAACCCTTAGGATCTCCCACTTCTTTCCATGTCCACCTGGTTAAAAATTTTTTTTGTGTTTATCCCTAATTTCTAAAATATAAGTGATAGCTTGGTTTGCTACCTTCTCCTGAAGACTTTCCTACTCCTGAAGAGTATTCAGAAAGATGTTTTTGGCACGTGCTGATTTCTTTAATGAAAATTCACAAAAGGTCTTTACATCTTACTGTTTATTAAGTTTCAAATCAAACAAGTGTTAAAAACAACAGTAAATAATCTAATAAGTGGCTCTTTTCTAAGGACTGATCTGTAGTGCAAAAGTTATGCCATTTAATTGAATTCATTTAGAATCTGACTATTTTAATCCATGCAATCTGGTAATGAAGATTCATGATATTTGTTGAATTTAAATGATAATTCTCTTGGGGCATCTGCTGAACAGTATGGATGAAGAGGTGACGTATGACCTTTCAGCCAATCTGGGATGTGAAATTCTGTATTACTTTGCAAGACCACTAATTGCACTTATTTTAATATTCTTAGTTATAAACAGCAGCATCTGGTGAATGAAAATCCTGTCTCTAACATGGGGATAGTCACTTCTCCTGCTCAGTTGGACAACTGGTTAAATTGTCCCAGTATGAGTCATCAAGAACTGATAAATCTGTGCCCACACTGCTGTCTGTTTAGTCATCAGTGAAATTTGTTTGGTTTAATTCAGTCATTTTCTGATACCACGTTGCTTTGAGACCATTCACACTTTTTCACTGTACTCCTTAAACTTTCTTGTGTTGAGGTAACAGCTTAGACATGCCCTGAAAGACTTAGCTCAGAGTCACCATTTATTAGGAAGCTTGGCGTAGCTGTGCTTGGATTGGTGTGCCTGGACTTTCCCTCTTCTCAGCAGCTTTTACCAGTCAGCTTACTCTTTGATTCACTTCTGATTTTCAGTGAATTCCCGTCTGGATGTCCTGTGTCCAGACAGGCTTTTTAACTATTGGCATGGGGGGAGTTTAGCCTTAAGAAACCAGACACACACTACCAGTCCATCTTTTTATCTACCCACTTCTGCCTTTTGTTCCTGTAAATATTTGGTCAGTGTAACTGAATTTTTTAAAGGACCGAAGATCACAACATTTCTGCAGGTTTTGTGAACATAAACACCTGTATGAGAAGAAAAAAAAAAATAAAGTCAGAGCTCCAGCAAGGAAAAGACTAGACTTAGTAGTTACATAGTTGGCCATCTGTTAAGCATGCAGTGCAGAGCCTGCCACAGCACTGTGCTGCTGTTTGCCAAATCAGTAGTAAAAAGATATAGGAAGAGTCTGGGAGTAATTTTAATGAAATTGCATCTTTTGTCATTCCAGTCTTAAAGCTGGGTGCCAGATCTGTCCTACCTCACAACCTCCCACAGAAGAGATTGGAGGGGAGGAACCTCAGACTAAATTCTAGCATACAGACTGAACTGATAGATCTGATTCCATCTGAGGGACAGGTTCTGGGCTCTGACTTTCTTCTCTGTATTTCCCACTTAACAGCAACCTTCTCTGACTTTCAGTAACATAAATCCTATTCAGGTTTGTCTGCAGCCAGTCTGCCTGCCAAGTATGGGCTAAAGGTTTCACTTGGCAGCAGAGTGCTGCGTTAGGTACTGAAGTGCCTGGCTTTGCAATGCCATTGTGAGGCCTTTGCTCTTTTCAAAAGCATGGTTGTGGTTCTCATATGCACCATAATTAGTCCAGTAAGACTGAAACTCTACTTTTAAATTCTATATAGAAGTGAATTTACATATGCAAAGTGGTGTTGAAGCAGGTGGATTTATATGAGGAGTAAATTGGTTCCGTGATTTAGATTGTTATATCTGTCAAGTACCCAAACCATTACCTAATAATTACTGGGTTTTTATAAATGTGGTAAGTATATAGGGGACACATGATCACATATCGTATAGATGTTGACTTGTTTTATTAGGTGACTTATGTATGGAGAACAAGAAGAGCTACCCTAAAGATCATACATAATGTATATCTGTCCAGGGACAGTGAATAATAAACAGTTGCTGGAGCTTGGCAGAAGTTTCATTCAATGGCCATCATGGACTCTGCATAGTTTTGTTTATTGTATAAGTAGTCAAATAAATTTTCAGACATTGAAAGTGTATTTTTCTATAATACAAATTTTTAAGCAGGTTTCTTGGCATGCATTTTGTTTGTACTGTGCTTGAGGTTGTTTATGGCATTAGTGGTTTGTGTGTTTGTGCATGTTTGCATTCTGTCTGTTTATGAAGTATTTCACTAGTACCCTTACACAGCATGTGGTCGGTTGAAGATTATTTTTGATGGCATGTGTAGTCATCATGAATTTTGCTGAGAGGCTTTTAATCTAAGGTAGGTTAAACACTGCTTATCTGCAGTTATGTAAAGACAGACTTGCAGGTTGTACTCATTTGCACAGAAGTTAGATGCAAAAAAATACCTGCCCTGTTTTGAAGATGAAAGTGTGAGTTGGTGCCAATTTTTCCAACAATCATGGCAGTTTGGTACATTTGAGGTTCATAAAGATAGGCCAATTCTATTAATAACTGGAACATTAGTATATTTTTATTATCCTAGATGTCAAAAATAATTAACAGATGACTCATTATATTATGATAATACCATGTGTGTAAATAATTTTTGAAATTAAGTACTGAACCAAAACCAAACTTCTAACAAGGATAATTTAAATCACTTCAGATTTTAATTGACAGCTAAGTATAGGCAAGACTTTCAGGACCCACAGGCAGGGTTATGAAATTAATCTGAATTAAACTGGGTTTATAAGGTTAGTTGATACTTTACCACGTGTTTTGAAAGTATAGGTTGTTCAACATGTGTCTATCAATGTAATTACGGGAATAATATTTCCAAAAAATGTAGATGCTGAGCAGCTCTAGACACTTACGAGCATCAGTTCAGTAAGGATTTAGTGAACACTACAGAATAAATAATGTTACTTTATTTAGATGCCTAACTGCTACTTTAAGAACATAATTCTCCCCATGAATCTTGTCCTACAATTCAAGAAACTCTGCTTCTGCAGAAATTGTTAAGAATGTGCATGAAACTTAGAAGAAACAGAGCTGACCAATAATAAATGCTTATGAAAATTCCACTAGTGAGTACTATTTTATTACTATTTTTACTAAAGTTCTTCATGGGTAATAAACTCCATGTATCAGCTTTGATTTTCTTGAGAATTTTTTCATACAAGTATACCTCTTTTTCTTCCTACCAAAATAATATTAGACTCTTTTCTACTACTTCTTTTACATTGCTCAAGTGTGCATTTATGAAAGCTTAAATGCATTTCATTAAAATTATCTATCTTTGAATATGAGAATAAAATTAATGAATATCAGTGAAAACATTTCATTTATGATGTGCACATTTTTTTATCTGCTTTCCGAATGTACAGTATTATACTGCTGTATCATTTATAACACCATGCTGTGCTGCACAACTATAGTTGCTTTTTATGTATAGTGCTGTGACATAAAGTGAAATCTTTGCTTAAGAATAATTATTTAAGTGACTTTAAGTGAATTAGAAAGCAGATAGCTAAAGGTGGAATTCAGACCCTCTAGCTACTCTTCCTTCCTTTAACATGCCGTACCTATGTTATTCCTGAGAAGCCTAAAGTCAATCCACAGAAAATAACATTTCTGTGCCTCAAGACATAGGAGCCATTCATACAAAAATGAGAAGCAAAATGTGTACAGAAATAAACTTTACATCTTATGACAGTAGCAGCAGGTTCATAGTGTCAGGAAGAAAAAAAATGATGAAAGGAAGCCAAGTCTGACAAACTGAATTGTGGCTCAGCTGAATGTTGCTGAACTTCATTTCACTAACAAAGCAGTGGTATATTTTTTTT